AACACACAAAACAAGAAAAAACAATGCACACCAACACACAGAGGCGATTCATTCGTGGCGCCATCTTAGGTTATATCTGGCGGCAACAACCCCAAAAAAGGGCCGCAAAATCCTGGGGGGACTGTTATTTGGTACATAAATAGTGGTGTTAATGAATTGGCACTGGAGTTCATCAGACTACTGGGTTATGGGGGTATGTCCACACAAAAGGTCGGGAACCACTGGTTTTCCAAAACCTCGTTAACTTATCAGACTGCAGGTAAACGCTGGCATGCCACTCACATTGGCTTAAAAAATTAATGAAGGTATATACAGACGGTAGATCATTTGACTCAGATGCACAATGTTTAAAAACTCTCTGTGGGCCAGTAGAACACCTCTCTAATATCTTCTACTTTATGCGCCTTCTGTAATGTAATGTGGCCCAGTGTTGGGAAATACACCATGACAATACAAACGCACCTCTCAAGTATTATAGCTCTACTATAACTTGTAACCCCCACTAAGGGTTGCCAAAGCTTCAGGGAGGGTCGCAAAACCTTTTAGATAGAGACAGTAGTCCTAAGTCTGAGCATTTTGTTCATTTCAACTGAATGGAATTGTTATTTTAAAAGTTTAGATTATTATTTAAGATAAACTTTAAAGATCTAAACACAAGCTATATTCACAGAGCCTTCACTCAAGTCAAGTTGAGTGAATTAACTTGGCGTCTCAGAGAGAATAAAACATAACACATAATACAGAGGGAGAATTGTATAAAAAGTTCTTAAAAATATTTTAGTTACACGTTGTAACACGTTAACTATAATGTGAAATATCTACTAAATGTCACTTAATCAGGGTCGGCAGTTTACTCAATGATAGAAAAGGGCTCCCTTAAGGAAAAAGGTTTGGGACCACTGCCATAGACCTCCCTGAATTTTCAGTCCTTGGCTGGTGAAGTGAATATGTCACTTTGTCAGGGGCTGACAGTTTACTCTGTGATTAAAAACGGTTCCCTTAATGAAAAAGGCTTGGAACCACTACCTTACAATAAAGTGTTGTTGGTGTAAGTTGTGGGGACATTGGTTTCGGTAGACATGGCATATTTTTTCCTCTGCAGCTGCACAAAGTCAGTAAAAAACAGTATCCTAATAAGATCATTGTCATCAAGCATTTTCCTCTCATGTTGTCTCATTGTCTCTGCCTGGTAATGTCTGCCTAACAGGTTAGGAGCTGTCCTTAAGAAATAAAGTTAAAAAAATTTTAATGCTTTTACTTGTGGTCAAAGTAGGACTAAAAATATGTCTTTCTAAAGTTAAGACTTCCTATTTTCTGTTATGATGTGGTATGGATGTAGCTTTACTCATCAGCTTCAGGAGTGTAAGGAAACTCCACTCCCCTTATAAAGGATTTCATCAGCAGGACTTTCACTGAAGAGTTTTAATCTCTCACAATGGACTAAATGCTGTTTTAAAAACACCAGAATGCTATTGTGGCAGACACATAAAATGTTTCTAACTTTCTAGGGTAAAAATGGTCGAATTAATCAAGTAAAACACATACTGCTCTGCTTATCATCCTTCAAAATCTCCACCAAAATCTGGTGTGAATGCCTGGCTGGGTTAAGAGGAGAAATTCATCATCTCAACAGGAGAATGATGCTCACAGCTTCAGCCAGACAGAGGCCGCTTACACTGTTAATTTCATTATCTCGCCGAGATGAAACGAAGAAAAAAAAGGGGGAGGGAGGAAAGAGAGAGATGGATCTAGTTCAGGCAGCAGCATCTCAATGCATACAGAGATTCTCCTGTATTTCAATTTGCTGCGTCTTGTACTGTTCCATGGTCTGCAGTTTAAATGAAGGACTTTTATGATGCAAATGCAGGAAGGAGTGATAAATCTCTCTCGCTCTCCTCTCCTGGGCTCTCCTGATGCAAAAGATGTGCGCTCTCCCCCTCTCTCTTCCCCCTCTCTCTCCCTTGCTTTCTCTCCACTGCAGCATCGCGTTACACTCACCCCCAGGCCAAATGAAAAATGAATCAGGCTCAGGTGATGCAGTGAGAGAGTGGGGAGGGGGAAAGGGAGAGAGAGAGAGAAGAGAAAGAGAGAGAGAGAAAGAAAGACTCCAAAAAGTAATGCTTTGACTTTCCTCAACAACTTCTAGGTCAGTTTAATTTGATAGATGCTAACAGTACGCTCAGACACAGAGACACGTGCGCAATGCGCATACACACAAAAACACACACAAACATGCAGAAATGCAAACACACCATTGGGCCAAAGTAATTCCAGTGTGTGGTAAAATAATTCTGTTGTCAGTCAGTGCCATGTTATTGATTATAAGGACTAGAGCAGAAATGGTTACATGCACAATGGCAATTCATTAAATCACTTCTTAAAAGTCTATAACCTTTGTCGATTGAAGCATCTTTATTATTTGTTGCTTATATGAAGAGTAAAGACTAGGCATCTTATCATGAGATATC